CGGCCGCGGAGACGCGGGCGGGCTGCCTGCCCCCGGCAGGCCCTTCGCTCGGAGTAGCTGTGCCCTTCGGGGTGCCAGGTGGCGCTGGGAGACCTGCCTCCTGGAAGTGGTTTGCTGGGACCTTGGTCCCTTCTCCCCTTGTCCCTGGGGACCGATCTCGGTTGCAGGGAGGACTCAGGTCCTCATTCTTGCCCCCTCAGTGCTTCAGGTTTACATACACGCCTGTCTCTCCACCTTGTCCTGCCCCTGATGTGAGGGGTTTAGGGTACACCTGTTGATGCCCAGTCCCATATAGTTGCGGGGAGGATAGTGCAGTACTTTCTTTAAAATGTCATTTGGAGAACGGTTTGCGGATTTTCTTATTTTCATTTTCCTGCTGCCTTTTTCAGTATTATGGTAAAAAATGATCTCCGACCCAGTCCACCAATCTCAGTAAAACCTCGAACATAAGTTATTTTAAGATTAAGATCAATGTTGTAACTGTTGTTACTTTAAAACAAGTCTGACAAAGTTTGTGTTTTTTTCATAAAATTTTATATCCTGATGTTGTGTGAATATGTGAGTGTCTCAGCTTTCTTTTTTTAATTCTAATGATCGTGTTGCAGAGAGAAATTTGAAAGTGCTCCAACGAGACTTCATGAACTGAGAAACCAAAAAGCATTACTTACAGAAACAAAACAAAGAATGCGTTAGTGTTTTTAAATTTTAAACCAGTTTTAGGAGGAATAAAACATAATTTTTGGATTCTGGAGTTAGGAATAAATTAGTTCTATTTATTTAAAAGTTTAACTTGTAAAATTTGTATTGGCAAAGCCAAAAGTGATTTGGTTACATTATGAAGTCATAGAACCTTTTTTTGCTTTTAAGTGTAAATTTGGATAGTTGCAGTCTTCATGTTTATTTAGCTATGTATTTAGCCAGTCTCTGTGATAACATGAACTTGAAAATCTCAGGGAACAAATCATTAACCTGTTTGAACTTGTTGAACTCGGGTTCCATTTTAGCTAAGAGCAGACATCTTTGAAGACTGCAGCCATTCTTTCCATTCTAGAGATAATAAATCCTGATGAGAAAGATGCAATTTAAAAAAAAAAAAGTGTGAGCAAAAACATGTTGTATTATTTGGACATTCCTCTTGACAACATACAGGTTCATTTTGATGATGGATAAACAAGCAACTGCTAAAGTGTCTACCATTTTAACCATCGATCCTGTTAAAGGACGTATGAAGAAGAGGGATAGAACATTACAAGCTGCAAAAGTGAACACTTCTCTAGCATCTAAAATCAAAACTAAATTAATAAGTAAGTCCTGTTAAAGTAAAACTGAAGCCATTTACTGTTCTTGCAGAGTATATGAATTCAAAAGGAATAGTAAGCTATTTAAAATGATTTGCTGAATTGCTGCCTAGTCTAAAAATATTAATGTAGTATGTTGAGAATTTTAGGATAGCCTGAAGGTTAAAACACATGATCATGAGTTGATTATTATCTAAGTCTTTGTATATTTTCGGTGCTTGCTCTTTGGCATGGCCAAAAAAAGAGTATACTCAGGTGCATCCGTGTCTTATGTATCTAGACATCTAAAAACTGTGGAATCAAAATTAGTAAATTAGTGACCTTTTAAAATATATTTGCTATAATATAATATCTAGTGTTCCTATTTGCAAAATGAGATTTAAATAGAATTATTGATGGAGCTATTTACTGAATCAAGAAAAATGACAAATATTTATCTGCTGATTCATTCGTTTGCCAGAATGTACCTTTTTCCCCCGGTAAGTCAGGTTTCAGTTCAAACATAGGTTTTTCGTGATAGTCGTTGTGGTGTTGTTTCTGATTCTAACAAAAACAGTACGAAATTTCTTAGATCCTCTTCTGCAAAATGCAGGGAAACTATGGATGTAGTGGAACCCCACTACTTCAGAATTCCCTAATTCAAGCAACGTGATTAATTGCGTGTTCACTTCTGGTTCTCTTCCTGTGACTGGTGCAGCAATAATTGTTGTTAGTATGCATATTTGAATTTACTGTGTTTTTATGTCAAAAATAGTGATTTTCAGTGAAAAATAATTAACAGTATAGGTGAAGAATACTAACTTCCTTTAGAAATCTCCACATTGCAGTAATAGAAATAATTCACTGATCTGAACAGTAATTTCAAAGCAGAATGTTTGAATTAACAAGGTTCCACTGTTGTTGCCTGCTTCTCAAAGCATGAAGTTTTGCAAATTTAGAATTATAGGTCACAGAATAGCATAAGGCAAAGAATAAATGTATTTAGAGTAGATCTCACTACCTTGCACCTTTCGGTACTGTATAGGGTGTGGTCAGAGCATGGTTAGTCTTGCCTGTCCTGTCCCTACTTGGAGTTAGCGTTAGCTCTGTGTAGCATGAACGCGAGGCAAAAAATCCAGCAGCATCTTGGTAATATGCAGTGTCACTGGAAAAATAATAATAATAAAAAAAGTTCCTAAAAGGTTCTGTAAAAGATGTGAGTAGGCAGGTTTTTGTTAGGACAGTGGAGGGTGTATTTCTGAATTAAAGTTTCTTTCTTTCTCTTGGCGAATCTCACATTTTTGCCCAAATTATTTGGACTATTTCACTGTAAAAATACTTTTTTTTTTTTTTTTTAAGAAAGCTAGATATGTTTTTCATACTTGTAAAATTATCCATTTTTAAAATGCTTTCTTCTTTAAATATCCTTATTTTAGAAATCCAGACTATAGCAGAATCCATGCATGAAACAAACTTTAATTTGCAGCTGACAGAGTAATCTTCTGAATGATAAGCAACTAGAAACAGTTTTATATTAAAAGTGTTAGGCTTTGGTACTGTTCCACCAAAATATATTGATAGAAAAGTTGTATAGTGTTGTTCATACAAAGAGTCTGGAATTGAAGCTTTGAAAATCAAATGGTATTATTTTTGTCTCCTTTAGATAACTCATCTATTTTTAAAGTGTCTTTAAAACAAAATAATAAAGCATTAGCTCTGGCTTTGAGTGTAGAGAAAGAAAATTCTCGGAAGCTAAAGAATGAGAAGATTTTTCTTCAGAAAGAAGTGGAAGAGCTGCAGTTTCATAATATTTTGCTTCGTCAAAAACTAAACTGTTTGGTATGGTGTGAATAATATCATTTAAAGTTAGAACAGCTAAACCAAGCTTTAATTTTTTTCTAAAAGTGTAATATTGCTTCTTAAAATGTTGGTTTAAACATCTCTGAGGGAAATTTGTGAAGTTATGTGAAGTTATGCTATCTCATAGCAAATCGTTGTTCGCATTTGGTTTTTCTTCCATAGGGTTATTTTGTGCTTACTGTTTTGTCCATTGATGCATCTGTCCATCTGTGGCTATGTTAATAGTGTCATTTTTACCTTTATATTTATCAGTACTGCAGTGGTATTAAAAATTAGTTTGGCTTTCAGTTGAGTGTGAAAAATTGCAACATATAGTCACTTTTATGTCATCTCTTTTTAAATAAGCCGGTAGCCATTTAAAGAGATTTTGTTTTATTTTTTTTTTTAACATACAGAATAAAACTCTTATAGAAATAGAAGCTTTTTTGAGTAATAACCTCTTAACGGCAATAGAAATAAGCAGTCTTTCTCAGGTAAGGTGATGTTTTTTGAACTATTACAATATTTAACTCTTTTCCCAGGGTAATATTTTCAAAGTATCTGAATGACGGGAGTGTTGAAATCGGTTATGCATTTTAAAACATTTATCTCAATTATTTAAAATTTGGGGTGAAATCCTAGTACAATGAAGTCAATGGAAATTTTGCTGTTGTATGCAAAAAAATCCCTTATGGTTTGATCTTATTTGCAAAGAATCTAAAAGTTATGTGTCAGTTAAACCTGATGAAGTCATGTCATGAAAAATAACATGCAGGTAGGTGGCATTCTTCACCAATGAGCTAATATGCTCTCCCTGCTTAATGCTAGAGTGAGCTATGCTGCAGGAATCAATATCTCATGCATGGAAACTTTACCAGAAAACGTAGTCCATGTTAGTCCTTGTGTCATGGCAAAATTATAGTTAAGTGATTTATCTCCTGCTTTATTAGATGCCTGTGTAGTTTTAACAAAACATGATTTTTACTGTCTGATGTTTAGTGTTGCTCTGTGCTTCTGTATACATAATGTAGTTCGGTGTTGCATTAATTATATCTGCATGGAAAAACTATACAGTGCTTTGGGATGAAACTAATTACCAGTTTTGATAAATTTTGCTACAAGATATTTTTCTTCAAAGCTATTGTGTATGTTTGAAGGAATGTATTTCCTAATAATATGTATCTTATCCGGAAAAGTTATAATTATTCAGTGAACCATAAAATATCGCGCAACGTTGATCCGTACTGCTGTTTTTGCCCATTATTTTATTTTTTAGGGGATATTTCTAATGCTTAAAACTTAGGAGAAATTCAAATCTTTCTACTTCCCCACTGTTCTTTTTTGAAAGAACCTTCAGAGTTCTCTTCCCCTGTCAGATGGTCCAAGCAGCTGTAGTGACAACCAATTCAGGAGTACATATCTATCAGCTAGGTAGGTGGTTGTATTAAATGTGGAAGTTGCTATGTGTTTGTAGATCTTTATTTTTTACAACTAACGTTGTACGTTTTGTTCTAATGTATTTGAAGTAATGAGAAAAAATTTTCTGTCCAGTTCAGAAGTTACCTATTTGTGACTTGGAATTACGAGCAAGATATTGGTAGACAAATCTTCTGATTGAATAATTTATTTCTTCATGGAAGCTCGTGAGCACAAAGCAGGATACTCTATCAGAAAAAATACATTTTACCCTAAGATAGAGGCAGAAGTAAAGCACGTTTCATACTTAAGTTCTTGTTTTGTGCTTTTATATATTACTAAGGGTTGAATGAGTGAATATTACGGCATAACATGTAATAAAACCTTCACAGTAAAATATCCTCTTTTCAGATCTCTGGAACTGCCAGTGAAGCTTCCTTTAACTGCACCATCTAATGCAAAACAGCAGGATAGCCCATCTGTATGTGAAGTACTAAATTCTTGTAAAAGTACCACTATTTTGTCAAAGGAAGTACACTCAGATAAACTCAGGTTTGCATTATCATTGCCTTCTGATAAAAATAATCAAAAGTCAAATGAAATAGACCAGGTGGAAGCAACTGTTGACACAAATACATTTTTAAAAGGTATGATATATTTCTGTACGGGTGATTTTTTTTTTTTTTCCAGAGATCGCTGAGATAGTACTTAGTAATTAATTACTTGATATGCAGTATATAATATATAATATTCAAACTGTAACAAATTATTTTAATTTAATCAAAAATAGAATGCTTAACCCATAAATATAGGTATTCTGACAATCGTTTGTAGAGTAACGTTCATTGGAAAAAAACAGCTGAAATCATAACAAAGCTAACATGAACTAAATAAAGCTAAGATAGCAACCAAATAATAACTTATGCAGTCATAGAAACAGCCGATTTTTTACTTATACTTAACTGCAAAAGTCCCACTTTGTTAAAATGCAAAATTAGCTTTAATTAACTGATTTTTATGACCAACCATTGAAAATGAGCATTGATTAGAAAAATGCAGCTTGACCTTTTCTATGCTTCTGGACCAGTCTTCGGTAATCAGTCTTATTCTGATAGCTGTACTCTATTCTTTTTTTTTTTTCTCAAGCTGATGAAATTTCTCTCTTTGCTTGCAGAAAATCAGTTACGTACAGAACTAAAGTGCAACAGTGTCTTCCTGACTCATGTCAATAATGCACAATATCAGAGACAGTCCGAGGAGCTTACAAAACAGTATACTGGTAGTTCATTGCCATTCTGTGGAAACGTAACTGAAAGAAAGAAACATACAGCACATGATAAGTCAAAAACTCAACATAATATAAAGGATTTTGATAAAAAATGCAGCTCAAATAGTCTGCTTCATTGTGGTATTAATAGCAGCAGCAACACCAATGACATGAGCTGTCACGCAAGATCCAGTGACTTGTCTCACAGTATTCCTTCACCTCTTCAGCTTAGCAGTGAATGTAACATAGATTTTAAGATTTCTGTGGACAAGATTAAACCTGAAGAAACTGTTTATGATGCCGATATGGAGTTGACTGCTAGTGATGTAGGTGAACTACTCACAGTTACATCAAAAGATAAACTGCACCAAAATAAAAATAGTAATGCCAATTCTGGTGAAACATCAGCAAATTTCAGAAGAGTAAAATATTCTAAGGAGAAAACTAAAAGCAAGCCTAAAGTAAGTTCAGATTTTTATGCAGAAGAAACTTGCTCTAAGGCTAACAGTAGTACAGATTCAAAAACTAACGACTTGGCAACTCAAATGTTCCAAAACCAGACAGAACAGCTACCTACAGGGAATTCTTTAGAGAAACAGAGTTTAAAGAATACCAGCAAATATTATCAAGCACAGGATTGTCCAAGTAAAGCTAAAGATACTAGGAGGACATACCTGGTTAACCTAGTGAGTCCAAGGAAACAAGAACAGGAGACAAATCAAGACACTTGTCCAGAAAGGTCTGAAGATATGGAAAACAAAATACAAGAAGCAGACTCTAACTCACCTAATAATAAGATCCCACCTGAAATTTATTGTGCTGAAAGTTTTCCATTCAAGGATAACACCTCTAATGCATTGTCTTTACAGCAGGACTTTCTACATACAAATGAGAAACATATCAACCCAGAAATGAACAGGAAAGCCTTTCAGAACCCTTCTAAAAAGAAGGCAACAAAACATTTTAGAGAGGAAAATGGACAGTATAGAGAATATGGTTCAAAAAAGTCTCAAACAGAGATAAGCCAACATGAGTGGAAGAGAAAAGAGCAGAAGAATATTATAAAGAATAAATACAACCGAAAAAGTAGTCACAGACAAAGTGGAGAAACTGAAAGTGACAGTGTTCATAAAATTATTCAGAAAATAGACCGAAGGAGTAATAAAGTTTCACCAGGCAGATTAAAACGTACATTGGCAAAAGCTAGCCGGAAAGCGTGTATAATACCAACAGAAAACCTTAGGCAATTCACACTGCTTAGAAATGAAGGGTTAAAAAATAAAAATGTATTGCACACAGATGTTATCCATGGAAATAAAATAGCTAAAATGCAGCAAATACAAGGAGCTTTAGATTTTCAGAATGGTGAAGCTATGAATGCACTGCAAGCTAGTTCCTCCACAAAGCAAGTGGTTGATAACAATACTGACACGTTAAAGAAAGAGGTAGATTCCTCATCAGGGGCACATAGAAAGCCTAACCTTATTAATTCTCCTGATGATCAGGTAAAGAATAAAGGGAGCTTTATTTCTGATTTTACTGAGATCAGACCAGAAAAAAAGGTTTTCGGGCATATTGACCAGGGGAAGCAGAATATTTTGGACAACCAGAAAGTCCCGCCTGAGACAGGTTCCTTTAAGAGCAAGTTAAAGCCTACAGTTCAAAAATCAGAATTTTTGAAATTCTTACCTGTAAACTGTTCTGAGAATATGCCATTAAGTTCAGGTAGATTTTTCCAGGAAGGTCTTCCCCATGTGGAGCTCCCAGTTGTTGATTACCTTAACGTTTCAGTTAACGTCTCTAGCCTGAAAAACTCTGAATTCTGTGGAAAAAATGATCATGCTAAAACACTGGATGCTGAAATAGCAGAGCAAAAACTGGATCATACTTACAAAGAAACTTATAAACAGTCTCTGACACCTTGTCATGGTAAGTGCATGGCGGAGAGGAAAGAAGGGCTTTTTAAATTAATGCCTGGAATAGTGGTGAGGTACCTTCTCTGAACAGTACCCCATTTTTATTCTTTGAATAGACTGGCTAAAATAGGAGTGGAAAAAGGTAAAATAGAAAATCACTAACGTTATGCATGTCCCCTACCATATTAGCAGTCATGATGTATTTCATGTTTAGGCAGGCAAATGCACATTCTTGAAAAGCAGTTAAAGTTGGAGCCTGTACTAACTTTGCAAAAGAGTGTGATGGGCTTCAGAAAGTTGGGGATAAAAAGATACAATAACTTAGGCTTTTATACAAGGGGGAGATTGGTGAACTGCATTGTTCCCTTCGTAAATGAAGGACAGAGGCAAGAGCTGTTTTCATTAACTAGGTTTACAGATTTCATCTGTATTTCTTTAGGAATACTGTAATTCAATAGGAATTCTCAGGCCTTTACAGAAGATATTTTGAGCAGGTCTTCTCTAGCATCTACTTATAAGTGTGCTTTCGTATGACAACCTTATTTTTTTAAATAAGGTATTTTAAGAAAAAAATCAAACTTTACAATAGTGTAGGAGATAAGCTTTAGATTATTTTATCATACAGTGCAGTTAGTGCAAAGGTGGTAAAGGCTCTGTGCTAGAGTCAGTTTCCTAGCTCAGATCAGTAGCTTTAATCCCAAACTCTTAGTCAAATACTGCTTTTGCTTTATTTGAATGCCATGACAATATAGGCAAATAATCTCCTATTTTACAGGAGCACAGAATAGGAATACTGGCAGAATTGGAACACTGTGCAAGATACAACTCTCTGTAGTTAGTGATTGCTTTTTCCCATTTTAGATTTCTTTTGAAGGTAGAAATAGGATCCTGTAATTTTATTAGCTTCCATGAGAAATTAATAAAGCCTTGTGATCAGCAGTGTCAAAGATTATTAACATAAAAAGAAGCAAGCTAATCATTTAATCTTCGGTCATTTAAGCATAGTTCAAAAAACAGTTCATTTTTCATCCTACATTCAAATCTGTGTCTTGAATTAAAAGGAAACAAGGAAATAAAGTGCTTTCTGATGAATCCAGCTCCTCTGCATCACTACCCTGAGCTGTGCTTAAAAATACAACTTGAAAGTCTCCTGGCATGGAAGTTTCTATCTAATTAGGTCTATGTGAATGTAAACATTCATGCTTGAAGGCATCCAGCTTTCTTAAATAATTCAGACTCAGAAAAAACGAGCTCCATCAAAAAATAATGCTTTTTTCCTTTTGCCTTCTTAAGTCATGAAGGACTAACTGCAAGCAGCCCAAAGTCACTTTAATACACCTAGTATACTTACAAGTGAAGTTAGCAAAAATTGGATGAAAAAACCTTTCAAATGTAAGCAGAGAGGTAAAACAGTAACATTCAGAGGAACATTTATAAAATGAGCAGTCTTCTCCACTGAGATATTTTACTTAATTTCAGCACGGAGTTCTGTTACAGAGTGATGGTAACTTAGCACTATCAGTTTGACCATCAGTGCAAGACATTCTGATGTTATTGCAAGAAGGAAAATCTTCCCTTCTTTAACATATAAGCATTCTGTGTTACAATTCATTAGATTCAGGATAGGCATAACAGAAAATTTGTCATTTATCCAAAATCCGTCTTCTCTATGAGATAAATAGCATGCGTCTTTTGTCACATAGGATCTAAGGTGATTAAAGTCTTCAAACTTAGGAAACGAAGATAAGAGAGAGTGTTAATTTTAATTCTATAGAAAAACTGCATCCAAAGTGTTGTCATCTGGATGCATGAAATCTAAAACCTGACCTGTATCAGTGAAGAATATACATTCTTGGAAGAACTTTTATGGGATCCAGATTAAGGGTGTATTTATTTCATCTTGGATTACGCTCTGTGTTAAATCTCAGTGCTTCTCAGAAAGACTATGATCTATGGATGGTTTAGAATTTTTTGAAATGTATGTTAAAGTAAAAATTCCAGTATTTTTCACAAATTATTTAAAGTATTTGTCTCCAAATTAAGTATTGATATTTAATCTAGCATTCTGAATTGGTCTTAAAAACCTCAAAAGTTTACAGGAAATTAACACAAAGAGTACTGCTTTTATCAAGGCTGGCTAATTTTTAGATATAACATGTTCTGTGATTCAAAATATGGGCATTGTAAATAGCTCCACAGTACGCAGATCTAAAAATACTGAGGCTCACTTAATCACTATGCTCGGGTCTTTTCTCACAGAATTGGCATAAAGTTGGAAAATGTGGTCCTAGGGAACTCCCTTGTACAGGCTGAAGCTTGGAATTACAAACGTATGCCATCGCCCTGCATTTAAGGCCATGACCTGTTTGCAGTTTTACTTTCTCTGACTGCAACAACTTTTGGGAGCCTTAAATAGCTAGCTTCAACTTACAGTACTTTTGAGGCTTTCTTAGACTGTCCCAAGAGCTGTAGCAGTCTTCAGACAGCTCAAACTAGGATAGGTGAAATCTGCTGTAATGGCATTTGTTTTTGCTCATCTGTTCCATTGTTTGCTGAACGTCTTTAGATTAGGAGCAGTAACCAATTATTTGATTAAATTTTTTTTTTAATTATGAATTGAAAATTTACTTTGTGATTCAGAAAATATTTAAAATGAAGTATATAAACTACTGTATTAACAGGGAGAAAGGCTTTGCAGGATCTGACAAATACCACCATACGTTCTCACGCTTCCTTACCTAAATCTCCCAAAACTTTAGAAGAAAATTTAGCAGCACGAGCTAGACGAAGAAGAACCAGTATTTGCTACAAAGAACCCAATCTAAACAGGTAGGTATAAGTAAATGAGGGTTGTGTGTGTGTATGTGCTTGGTTTTTGTTTTTTTCTTTTTGTAGTACAGAACTATCCCTAATAAATATTTTCTATTAAAAAAAAAAAAACCAGTTGGACTATTTCTTCCATAAACTGAATTGGAAAGATGCTCAATATTGATGTCGAATATTTCCTGTTATGCCAGAATTCCCAAGTGCCAAAGAAAGACAGCATTCTTCAGTCCTAAAAACTAAAATATGGTTTACAATTTATTCTAATATTTTATTCAAGTGGTGAATAATGGTGTATTCTTAATGTTTAATATGTCATAAACCCCTTTGGAGATTTACATTTGCAAATGTACTCAGATGTAAACTTTTTACTATAATAATGTCCTTATAATCTTGTCAAGAGGCGAGACAGTTTCTGTAGTAATGTTGTGGAATCCAGTGGTTTTGCCTCAACTAACTTCATCTAATATAAGCAATCATTTGAACTTGAAACATATTAATTTGCTCATTAGTTATTTACCTCTCAGTGTTCTTACCAAGTTCAGTGACACAAATTAGGCTTTCCAAATTTATCAAGACGACAACACAGAAATTATGTAATAGCTATTAAAATTTAAAGATTTTAAAGTCAAAAACTTGTATAAGAAAATTAACGTTTTTGCACTTATGTGAAGTAGAGTATACCTAAATCCTGACGGACCTTTAAGTTGATTATTTCTGAAAATATTCTGAGAACTTTCTGTTACTATGATAAGTAAGACTATAATATTAATTTAAGGAAAAGTTCAGCTCTGTGTTTGTGAATATATTAGTAGAGTATATATTCATGAGCTAAAGACATTATTAAGTGTTAAGGGTGAAATGATTATAGCAAGTTATTTTTTCGATATAACAAGGTTGTAAAAGGAATATATCTTCCTTTTCTGGCCAAACAGTGGGAGGAGAAGAAAATGAAACCCGTGAACTGAAAAAAATTAGCCCACTCTTCTCCTTCACCCCAAAAATATTTTTGTTTACCTGTGCAAGTAAGCAAACAATTAATAGCCATGAGACTGAGAGTAAACAGGAGCGAAGAGTAGCCTAAAAAATGTCTTTTCATTTTACTGGTTTCTAATATTTTAGAGATATTTATGTCAAAAAGTTTGCAAAAGGAATGCAAAGGGATTAGAGTTGCATTTTTCTTTTACTGTAATCTTAATTGGATATTAAGATAACGCTTTGATATTATGATATTGACACATTCTCTTGTTAGACCCCACAGTGATTGGGTTCTGTATTTCTGGAGACAGTAAGCTAGTAACAGAAAATAGTTTGGGATTTCACTTGAGATTTTAGATGTTATTCCTTCTTTATATTTTACTTTCAAATACAGTGTTCTGAATGGATGCTATTAGACCTTTGGTTTAAATCATGTTTGTGCTTTGCCTTAAAGGAGTAAGTTACGGTTACTCACATATTAATATATGTGCCACATAAAAAGAGTAAGATTTTTAGCATTATTTTGGGGAAATAATTTTTATCTATGTCTTGCTATTTCAGATATATTTATTTTTCATAAACTTAATTTTTGTGTATCAAGCTTTCACTGATAGTATTTACTATTTGGAATTGTTTTTATAATTACATAGGTACTTGCTGATATCTACCCATGAGGCTTTTCTTTTATTTCTTTTGTTTACAGCAAGTTAAGGCGTGGAGATCAGTTTACAGATACAGATTTTCTGGATTCTCCGGTCTATAAAGTAAAAAATAAAAGAAGTTTTAAGAGTAAATCAAAATTTATTTGAAGAAGACAAGAGAATTGCCTTTATGAACAGTACTTTTAAAGTACCTTTAAAATGTACTGCTTTTTTTTTTTTTTTTCCAAAATGGTAGACTGCTTATTGTTCTTTGATAGATAAAGGTAAAACACAGCCTTCCAGAGTGGAATTTTCTGGGAAGAAGCCTATATGTAAGTGACACAGAATACCTCACTGAGGAGTACAATACAGGTTAGACTCTACTGTGGTGTTAGGCATTTTCAGCCAGTAGATTATAGTCTGTTTGAAAGGTTTTTGCAGCATTTTTTAATTTGTAAGAAAAAGTGTAAGTTTTAAGGAGACTAAAAATAAATCACCTTTGCGAATTACACTGAGTTCTTCATATTTATCATGAACAGAGTTATTCTCAGTTCTGCTTGGAAAAGACACAAACATCCCAAATTTTGGTAAATCCAGTGAAACAGATGGGGCTAGTCCCATTATTTTTTAATTGTGCAGTGGAACAAAATATGATAGTTGACTCTTAGTTTTGACAGAATCATATTGAAATTTGAATGGGGGGGGGTCTAATTTTTTTGGAATAGTAGACAGAACTCCAGAGTATCCTGAGAGAAATAGCACTGCAATAGAAATTCGGTAGTAAATATGATCCAGACAAAGCAGTGCTGCGAGTTTCCAGTTGACAGGGTGTTAATGTGACAAATATTACGTCAGCATTGTAACATACAGCTATCAGACTTTTTATACTGCTTCTCCTCTGGACCCTTACGAATCACTTCCATGTCCCCAAATTATGTTGTCAGCAGACAAATAGTTTTCTGGGATGATATGGATCACAGTTGTTGCCAGCTGCAGGCTGTAGCTCACAGGACACATAACTTTTACAGATTAGATTGGATAAGGCAACCAAGTTTGCTGTAGCTCATTGTAACTCATTATAGCTCATTCAGATATGAATAAATTAACTTATTTGGTTATAGAAGATGGTTCTTTACACAACATGCAGTTAGGCTGAGAAATTCCCTGCCACAGGAACGAATGTTATTAGGTTACATTGGCTTAGAAGTTGATTGGAGAAATTCATGGAAGGAATATCTGTGAGGAGTTACCAGAGACACCATTTCTGGCACAAGATGTCCCTGAATTGCAAATTGCTGAAGGCTGGGAGAGTGTTCTAGGGAAGTCTCGTTGTGCATTTCACCAATTTTTATATTTTTTGAGGCATTCACTGTTAAAACCTTCAGAAACCAGTCGTTTGTTAGTTAGACCTTCGGTCTGACCTAGTACATCTCTTCTTATGTAATTGATATTCTTACATTTATTATAAGTGCTTAAAAAAAAACTATGTTCTCTTTGTACTTCCTTTGTAACTAGCATCACTTCGATCTCTTATAACATGATTGAAAGTTGGAGATTTACAAACAAACAGGAATTTGGCAGGTTAATATTTGTTCCTCATAAAGCTTTTTGCTGAGAAGGGTGGTAAATGCATGTGATTTTACTTGTACCATTCTGACAGAATAATTTGAAATTATAATAATAGTGGTTTGCAAGATATTTGTAATTCTCACTGTAAAACGCTAAAAAATGCTGAATGTTTCTATTGATGTGTTGTTTATGTAGTTCACTTCTGTATACAATCTTGTATATTCTTATATTTGTATTCTAAATTATCTCTTCTGAAAGAATGCATATTTATAATTTATCCACATAGTTATTTCCAGTAATTATTGCAACTGAAAAAAATTATATAGATATTTCTGGATATATAACTTCTTTTTTTCTCAAAAAGTCAGGTGCTCCATTTTGAGAAAATATCTCAAAATTTTTTTAGGCTTATATAAACAATATAAACTTTTGAGATATACTTGTAATCTGGTATATTTATATGTTATAGACCTGTATTATAATCTTCCTAGCACCTTTTGTTTGCTTTAAAAAAAAAAAAAAAAAGCTTGAGTTTTCTTTCTTAGTTTTGTATCTGTCTGTAGAAATAATAGGCAAAACATATTTAGCGTTCAGTCAAGCATGAGAATCTTCCAGTATCTTGATTCCCTTCGTTGGCTCAGGCTCTTTCAGCTCTTTCTGTTATTTGCATAAGAGTGTGTCTTTTGTCAGTTCATCTTTGGAGGCCAAAAATGACACTGTTATTTCCTGAGAATATTTCATAACTCCTCTGAGATTGCTTAAATTAAGCCAAAGAGATGTTCTTTTATTTTATTTCTATTATTACAGTTGCAGTGTCAGTTGAGCTGATTTTCTTTGTAAGTGGGAGAAAAGTAAGTCTTTTTTTCTTTTATACTGCTTTTTATATTAAATGAATCAAGAGAAGTTCTAAATAGAGTTCTCATTTATTAAGAACCTTTTAGCAAAAGCAGATTTTACAGTGAGCTTTTGTAGTTACACAAAAGAGAATAAAATACTGTATCATAAAGGATAAATTCACATACTCAGATTTTGATTAATTTTATTTTTTTAATTTAATTAAATTTAATTAATTTATTTTAATTAATTTAATTTTGATTAATTCTAAAAACAAAATGTGCAAAGAAAGCAGCAATAGCTGCAAGACATTAAGCAAAATAGTAATTTAATTTACTCAATCTAGTCAAAAATTAATTACTGTTAAGCTAATTAATTAATTAATTATTTTTTAGCTACAGAGTGGTGACCTCCCCAGATGGAATACAGATGGCTTCCATAAATCTGTGAGTACAAATAATCTTGTTTTTTTTACCAACAGTTGCTTCTGAATCAGGATCCAATCAGAGATTTTACTTTTTTTCTTTTCCACCTATATTAAATTTTTTTTTATGTACGGAGAAGGAATCTGGTCTGGAATCATGTTAATTCAACTCTTTCTTTAGCCATCACATTTTTTAAAAATTAAATTAAATCAGTCAAGCAGTATATTGACACTTAGTATGGTATTACTGCTGTTGGGAATTAATCTGCTGCTGAATGACAGGAAGTATTTTTTGGATGAAGAAAATATTTCTTCATATCCTGTATGTATTTTTCATATTACTCTGTAAATTACATAAAGGTTGAACCTTCCACCTTGATTATGGAGTTGATTCAATTGAGAATTTCCTGGATTAATTCCTGAAGTTAACACTTATTTTCAGTACTGAAGTGTAATCACCTTATTAAGGAGGCAATTGTGAAAACCGTGATAAAGTACCATCTTTTGACATGCATCTGTTGTCCAAATGATTGGTTTTAATGAATCTCCTTTCAAGAATTTAAAACAACTAAATTGCAATAATTTTTGTAACAGACTCTTTTAAAGTTTTAGTCCTAACTTCTCACTTTTGTCCACAAAACACTGTTGACATCTGCAGATTCATATAGTGAATCACTGAATGTTTTCTAACGCTCTCTATGTTGATTACATAAAATCATTAATGTACAGAAGTGTTTGCGGAATTTGGGCACAGGAAACCGTAATTTTAATTCCATTGATAAATTTTAATTCTCTGAGTCATTCAAACAACTCATCTGAAAAGCTACTCAACAGTAGAACACAGTTTCTTATGATAACAATTTACTTGGAGAAGACGTGTTTTAATTAAAAGGTGATCTATAAATATCAGTTAAATTAGTGTTCAGAAAAATCCTTATTTGATAACAAAATTGTTATTAAAATAAATAAAGATGCATTACTCAGTAAATAGCCAAAAGATTACAAATTGTGGAATATCTGGGGATTTTCTGTTGAAAGGCATTTTGTGCAGTTTAGAACAGGAAACAAAATTTTCCCTTTCTTTTCTTAAGATTTACCAGCGCTCTTTATCAGTGAAGATTTTTGATCCCAGCATCCAACCCAAGAACTTGTTTCCATCTACATTAAAAATAAGAATTAAGTTGTTACTTTAGTTTTTCATTCTATAAATAATATATAGAGTAAATCTAATGTGTATATTAGGAAATGTACCCTAAAAATCTGAAGACGATTTGGCATCTTAAAACCAAAAATGCAGAAAGCCAGATGTGCCATTTTATCACCCCCGATCTTGCAGCTGGAACAAGGCAGAGCAGAAATCCTTTGGTTTTAATAGCATTTTTCACATGTACAGAAGATTTCCTTTGCATTTCAGATTGAAGGATCAAAAATGACACTGAATGTTATACACATATTTTAAAAAATCAAATATAAACTAGAATTCAAAAATCTTCCCTTTTAATTCCCATGCAGAATTTACTGCAAGTGTCACTTACATGATTACGTTCCCACATGAGTAGGGTACCCATTAAAATATGTTATTATCTTTATTATGACCTTTTTGTAAGTCCTCTAATCTTTAATATTTTCTTATGTTTAAGGGCCTTTATACATATGAACAGTCCGTATATTAATAGCAGTGCTTGCCTAAGTTACAACAGCTGATACAATCTGATTTTAAATTAATAAAATTCCAGGGTTGCAGTATTGTCTGAGCTCCACTCAGGAACCCAGTCCTCTAAAGGTACCATAAAAATTAATAATTCTGTTATCTTTTGATACAATTTTTCATATCAATGACAACATCTTTTTAAAGGAATGGACACATGTTCATAATGAGATGCTAATTGTTAGTATTATGTTACGTAACTTGCAATTTAGTTCAGTTTAGTTTACTTCAGTTTCGTTGATAACAATGCAAATAATTCCATTGTGCAGTTCCATTTGTGCATAATCTAACTTCAGTTTATTTTCTCTCCCATGCCATCCTGTCAGAGTTTTCTTCAGCTGCCTACTGTTTCATTCTCCTGTATAGGAATTTAATTCATAAACATTAAATATTTATGTTGACACCAGAAATTGGCTGAAGATCAGCAGAAATCTACTATGGTTTGCAAAGGCGAAAAGAATTAACATGGATTCCCCAAATCCCAGTTATTTTAATGAAATGCTGGAGCTGCAAGTTACTTGCTGTGGATATGCAAACCTCAGATGCTTCTTACTGTAGCAAATAGAATCAAGTCTTATGCAAAAAAAAAAAAACTTTATCTCAATTTACTGCTATGATAATTAGTCTCATAAAAAAA